CTATGAACCCAAGTCGAAAACAACGATTTTGCTGAGTTTAGGAAAATATGCAACAGTGTTCCAGGCTGAACTAATAGCCATACAACACTGTGCAAAAGAAATACTAAATTAGAAAGTATCTGGCAAAACTATTGCCATATACTCTGACAACCAAGCAGCAATTCTCTCACCAGAAATTAAATCACGCCCAGTAAAAGAGTGTCTAAAAGAACCTGGCAGAGCTGAGTAGTCAAAACAAGGAGACCCTACCTTGGGTTCCAGGCCACTAATATCAGGGCAACGAAAAGGTCAACGAATTAGCCCGAGAAGGCTCAGATAAGGCCAGGACAGGCCCCGAACCCTTCTGTGGAGTTGATAAGGCATCGTGCAAGGCATCCATCAAACAATGGATACAAAAAGAGTCTCAGGAATGGTGGAACAACCATCCAAGACTGAGACAGGCCAAATAGTTCATCAAGGAACCATCAGCCAAGTTCAAGAAAGACCTACTGGATCAAAATCGTCAAATCGTTAGGATAATAGTAGGTCTTCTTGTCGGATACTGTCGCCTTAAAAGGCAGATGAGTATCATCAATTCAACAGAAGAAGCAACTTTGTGCAGGTTCTGTGAAGAAGAGGAAATATCATTCCAAGTCCTGTGCCAATATGAAGGCCTGGCAGGAATAAGGTTTCTAACACTTGGGGAAAAAAAGCGAAATGCATGCAACTACATGCGGGATCCACTGTTAAAGCTACTAAGTCTAATAAAAAAGACTAGGCTAGACGACATACTCTAAAACAAAAGGAGTCCCACAATAGATCTGGAAAGATTGCGGTGGACAAGGACAAATAACGTTCAACTCCCAATCTAATCTAATCTAATCTAAGGCAACGTAGGTCGAATTATATATCAAATCTTATTTTTTCCGGTTTTCAAGAATACTATAAAAGTACCACATTACTAATGTAATACAGTCCTATTCCAGGAACGGTTTCTGTATATGGTTCATTTGTGCAGTGAAAACCCAGTTCAATTTTATGAAAACACAATATTTTAAAATCACACAAATAAAAAAATATAAATTCAATTATAATATTTTTATTATTTTCATGGATGTTTTTCTCTATTTTTTGGTATGACACTGCACTCTGGCTGACATAAATAATGTGACCGCTTAAAACCACGCTATTTTGTGCATCTAATTAACAAGGCATAACGTCACAAAGTAGGGCTAGGCATACGAACCTTTCCAATCACTCTTAATAATAATTATGCTTTATTTGAAAGAAAAGTTAGTATGCTATTTACAATTAAACTAATGTAGGCAAATATGGCCCACCTAAATGTTTTTCTTTTTTTTATAATGCCTAATTTTTTTAAGGAACATTTTTTTCCACAACATAATAGGTAAGTATGTGGCCGACACACTTATATAATTTAGCCTGGTTAGAAATGATTCGTAATAGATGTTATATTATAAAAAAATTTTGCCTACACTTGGGTCATATTACGAATCTGGTCGGATTATATGGCCCAGAGTAAAAAATCTTTAAACTGAGGAACAAAAAAATATTAAACTAGTCAGAAATATAAACAAAGATAACAAATACTAAAACATTTAATGAACACACTTAAAAAAAACAAACAAAATTTAAGCAAGAGTTAATTACAAAAATTAAAAAAACAATAAACCAAATTAATCTATTTATGCCCAAAAAACTGAAAATATAAAATTATGAAAACAAAAAGTCAACAACACTCAAAATCTTCTTCGTCAGACTCGAGGCCAACACATGTAGTCTAGTTAACAAGTGCTTTTTGGGTCAAACTTTTTTCCACCTCCGAAAAATATTAACAAGGAATATCGTGTAGATGATTTTTGAAAAAATTCAAGAACCCCTTGCAAAAACTGGAAAGTTATAAACAATTAACTGAAAAAAAAAAAAAATAGGGTTTGGTTTTTGCAAATATCTCAAAAACTATCTGACATTTCCAAATTTGAGAAAAGATTCAAAAAGACGAGAAAATTTCTTACCAAAGAGTCCTACCTCCCAGAACTGTAGGACCAATATTTATAATTTTCCTAGAGGGTCAAAAATACGGCCGAAAACAGAGACTCTGGTTTGCGTAAGCTCCCGCCCACTGTGGACCTTTAATGAATAAATATTATTTAAACTTATTAAATATAAAAAATTACGAATTGAAAAAACTCAGGCATATTCTGGATAGATGAATGAACAATAATCCGCGGTCAAAGAATTTTTATCGAGATTTTTCTATTAATTATGCATTAGTTAATTAACAATGTTTTCCTGCTTAAACATGAACATTGCAAGTGCGATAATTGTTAAATAATAAATCTGATATTTTTTCTTTTTTGGAGCAATTAACAATTTTTTCCCACTTGTAATTATTATTAAGGAAACTGTTTTTTTAAATCATAATTTATCTTGCTCTTTGATAAATAAAAAGTTTTTATTTAAATTTTCATTGTCCGTTTAATAAACAATTTGTTGTAAACAATAAAATTTTTTTTAGCCTCTTGAGGGGACTGATCCCACTGTAGGAATACTTCATCTCGTCGTCCCCTACCAAGGTTTCTTCCTCTGAAGAGGACTCTTTGGTGTCCTCTTCCCTGCTGTGAGAAGACTTCACTTTGTCGTCCTCTGCCAAGGTTTATTCCTCTGTAGAGGACTCTTTGTTTTCCTCTTCCCTTCTTGTGCCTGGGTTATTCACTTTTTTGGCGGGTTGTTGGTCATATCCTCCTTTGACTCTGAATTAAAGTCTCCCTAGGTCATAGTAGGGGGCATGTCTAGCTTTTTTAGCTCTTCTAGAGATTCAGGATCCATAGAAAAAGCCCTCGTTTGACCTTTTTCCGATGGGGTTTTACCCCACACCGTCCAAAGGTGTATATTTTGCCCATGCTTGGCTATTTTTAGCCTTTTGAGGATTTTATCCCCTTCGGGCTTTTATCCTCTTTCGTCGGGGATGAATGCTGTGCAGGCTAGTGGCCTAGGAATATCGTTACTCTCCAACGCTTTTAAGGTTGCCCCTTCCCAAGGTTGGATGATTGTGACGATGTCCCGCAACCAGTCTGCACTGGTTCGGTCCGCGCAAGTCACTACCAGGTAACCTGGCTTGTGGCTGCACTTTGTGAACCTTACCTGTGTTCCCTCTGTGGGGATTTTGTCGTGGGCCTCGGAGATCGAGTCTTGGACTTTTCTTAGTCTCTCTGGACTCATTTTGATATCCATGTGTCCTATTTCTACCACTGCAACCTTCACTGAGGTAAGGGCCTCTTTGAACGAAACTTCGTCGGACCTGGCCTTCTTCCTCAATCGGCTGACCTGTGGCGGTGTTGCGTCTGTTGACCTTGGGCGTTTTAGAGCTTTTGTGCCTTGCTTGGCACCTGCCTTTCTGCGGCTATTTATTTAAGGCCAGTTTTCAAGAGCTCCTTTAGCCCTGTCCTCTAGTATCCACCGGAGAGGGTACCTCGTCCTCGGGCATTTAGTCTACCTCTTCTTGGGAGAAGACGATGACTTTACGCCTCTTTGCTAGCTTCACAGCGTTCGCCAGAGCCGTTGTCTTCGTCGTATCCCCTTTTAAAGTTGACGCTGTTGCCTTCTGTTGTTGCATTTCGTTGTTATTTTTAAAATTCACAGATGGTCCCACGAGTAGCTAGGGAAAAACAGTCCGCTACGGCAGAGCCCTACATGCCGCAGTAAGGTCGTGATACTCTGGGAGATGACCCGGTGTTCCAGAGGCTCCGTTTGCAAAAACTTATACCAGGTATCATTCAGTTATAGGCACGGGTCGCGTTACGCCTTAACTTGGGGAGTTGGTTCGCGGCGACAGTTTTCGCAAAGGATTTTGGGGGTTTTTAAGTCCCCTCACCCTACTTATAGCTGCCACTAGCCAGATACTCTGACCGTCTCCTATCCTTCACCCGGAGATGCGCCCGGTAGGCTCTCAACTCTCGGGAGCGAAGGGGCAGAGTTATTTAATACTTCTACCATTTTACAGAGGTACTTCATCGCACCTCTTATCTCAATTTTGTCCATTTTTATAAAATTACTTACACTTCAGTGAAAAAAAAAAAAATATTCAAGATACACAAACTGATGCGCCGATTCTGATTGGCACATACTAATGTCATAGTTTATTGCTAAAGAATCACTCGGACCAGTTGAATGTTCCAAAATAACATCCACTCCAGGGATACAAATTCAGGATGCGCAGAAGACTGCTGTTTGAATATAGGCAGTTGTTATATATACGCTAGTTCAGTGATTATGTAGTTATGGTTCCACTGACAATTAAAGTGACACTAGATTTTTTGAGTGCGTTTTGTTCATTTTGTTAACCTAAATTATATCGTTTTTTCACTTTTATAAATAAATTCCTAAAGTAAGAAGATAACATGCATCAAATATACAATCGTTTAGTTACCAATTACATACCTTTAAACCATTTTTTATGACCTGTGAACAATATTTAGAAATAAACTAAAAACAGTAAAAACGTATATGTCAAATTTATTGATGTTTTTGTTAAAAGTTTGGTTAGAATTAAATGTCAGTGGAACCAAAATGACATCACACTGAACTAGCGTATTGTATTGGTTATGATTTGATTCTGTATGCGCCAGGGATACAACTCCGAGTTGCGCAGTGTATAAACTGGAACATTGAGATCAAAAGTGCCGACGCAGAGTGAGCGAACTGATTCTTTAGCTATAAACTGTGCTAATGTCAAACAATAAGCTTTTGCCTGACACTGAATTTGCATTTATCATTCAACGCCAACCATGTTAGGGACAATAATTCGTGTACTATCCTTGTAGTTCTGAATTAAACAAAAATCAAGGGCAACACCTTTTCACTAATTTCTAATATTTACTTATCTTGATTGTGTTACTACAGTATTATTGCATGTCAAATTAAAATTAAATAAACATATTGAAATGAGAATGGTTTTTCTCATTTTTCCTTAAATAGTGACTCATTTAATGTGTTTTTAGCTAGACCTGCTGACAGCCCATTATTACCATCGACTGAAGAGTGTGGACTTGTTATTATTCCTGATAAGATACATGGTGGAGATAGAGCAGAACTAGAAGAATATCCTTGGATGGCTCTAATCGAATACGAAAGGGGTAGATGCGTATTTAAAATAATATTACAGTTTTTTGATTTTTTGCATTTAAATTCTGAAACAAAATACAGCATCTCACATTTAAAAAATTAAGTTGTTACTTTTTTAGCTGACAGAAGTCGTGGATTCTATTGTGGAGGAGCGTTAATAAGTAAGCGATACGTTTTAACTGCCGCTCATTGTGTCAAAGGAAGGGACTTGCCAAAAAATTGGAAATTGTAAGTAATAATATAAGCAGCTATAACTCGAAATCGGAAATAATAGTCAGGGACAATACAATACAACATGAGCGGCTGAAAATAATATGTAATATTCTACAAGAAAAAATTACTGAATGCTCTCGAAGTGCCGCTTGCTCTAAAATGGTAACACATGTTGAAAAAGAACGCGCACCGTTGTCAAATGTACTGCGTCCCGTGTAACGGAGCTTAGGAGGCATTTAAAACCAGTCTCTATTTTAATGGAGGTTCGCGGTCGACGACGTAATTTTGTATGATATTTTTTGACGGCCGCGCGGAGGTAGCAACACTGTAGGATCCATTAAAACCATAGAACAGCATTTACGATATCGAGACTTGTTCCAGAGTCGTGCTTGCGGGTAAAGATTATGGTTTTGGTTTTATATTTAATAAATATTTCAAATAATCGTTATCGTTATTATTTATTTTTCTAAACATACAAATAAAAATTATTTGTTTAAATAGAAAGTTTGTTTGAGAACAATAATAATTTTTACAATTTTTAAAATCATAATTTCCAAACCTCATGAATCTTGGCTGACAAAAAATTGAAAATTTCTCAAAAATATTAAAATGTTAAAATTTCTTTTGCTATTTTTTTTATTAATTCTGAATATTATAATGACAGATCTGATGCAATTCAATTTGGTGTTTTCGATAATCCTGTAAATGGTTGGGTAATTTTTAAAATCCAATAATTTTCAGTAGGTTATTTATTGATTTTTGTAGCAAAATATAATGCCAATCTGCTGTAAACTGTGCACCTACTTCCAATAATCATTCCAACTAAATCTCGATTCACTTCAGTCACATCATCAGCCTTCAACCTTCTGAGTTTATTTGCGTTATCGTAGAGTGACAATTGACGTTTGCGATAATACTTATTTTTGTTTGGACCTTATTCGGAATACGGTGATAAAGAAGGTTACCGCCTGCCAAAAAAGTGAAAAGACATTTAACTGTGGATGGACATAGATTGATAAAAACTTTGTATGAAAATATTCACACTCAAAATCCTAATTTATGGACGTAGCAGAATTGTGCGGAAATTTAACAAATTTGTGTTCTCGGAAAGTTTTCAGATCATTTAAAGTTGGCAAAAAGAAGAAAAAAAAAAAAAGAATCCAGAGGTAGAAAGAAAGTTGCTCTAGATGATCATATAAAAAATGTAATTCGCCGGAAAGTGCACTGTTTTTTTTTTTAAACAAAATGCCAACTCTACATAAAATCAAGGCTGCAGTGAATGCTGATAATCCTTTACCCAAAATATCCTTTGAATCTATTTTTATGTTGTTTAATGTGTACAGCTGTGGTCGTAATAAGAAAGGTTGAAATTCAATATTGTTGGACGTCAACCAGTTTATCATTTCAGCTTTTCTTGAATTTGAATTCGAAGCAGGATTTTCTATAACATTGTGATACGGTGCATTATCCACAATTACAATAGCATTTGGTTGTAATTTGGTATTAACAGTTCTCTTAGCCACTTTTCATAATTTTCTTGATTTATATCATTATGATAATCACCAGATTTGGCCTTAGACACAAACGTTAATAAACTGTTAGGAATAAAGCCCATATTACCACCAGCATAAACTATAGCAAGTCTCTTTCCTTTTGAAATGGTGGAAAACAAACCTTTTGCATTATCATCACCCCAATTATGTGATGATGCATGGCTAGTATGTATATAGGTTTCATCAATATATACAATGGGACGGTTTTAAAAATGAAAATATCTAATTTCTTTTGCTTTAACGTTGTGTAACAAGTTGTCATAGTCGACTTTATCCTCAGAAAATACTATCGTGGAATTATTTGTGTATTTCAGGTTAATGCTGCCTTTGATGATTTCTCTCAGCACTCTTGTTAGTACCTTGTGGTCTTCTGGGACTCCATCGAGCACTATGGGTGGCATTGCGGATTTTTTCTTGGTTTGAGGTTCGCTTTTATTGGTTGTGGCGGTTTTTTCGGCAGGTTTGCCTGTTGGTGGTTTTTTGTTATTTTCAGCCCTTTCTCTCCTTTCTTTCCTGGCTTTTAGTCGCGCTTCGAGGATTTGTTCATCTTCCTCTTCTTCACTTTCAGTTAGGACTTGAAACCTGTTTTTTGTTTCGATGGCTTTGGGCAAAGAAGCGATTACTTTCTGCTTCGTCACTCTCTTAAGATGACCACTGATTTTAGGGGGTGATTTGAACCCGTAATCTATTTTTTGTGTGTCCATAGGTTGTGTTGAGGGTATGGTTTTGATCTTATCAAGGTCGCCAAGGTCTGTTCGGGTTTTCTTCGCCCTCTGCAACGGAAAGGTGCTATTGGGCGATGTGTTTATAACTTCAGGTTTTTCCGTTATCGGTTTTGGGTCCTTAGGTTTAGGGGGTAGTGGCTGCGTTCTTCCATCTGGGAGTGTCATTTCCGTGGGTTGTGGTGGCGGGTGATGTTCAATAGGCACTATAATTATCTGTTTTAGCTGCGGTGTGTGGTCTGACCCGCTTTCGTACTCCATGATGTTCCTTTTCAGTGCTTGTGGTACGTCACTTTGTCTGATGGTGATTTTTAGCCGTTCTGCTGAAGGGATTGAGACATATTCAGAGAAGAATACGTCGTCTTCATACCTCCTTTTAATTGTTGGGGATTTTCCAAAATTTTGTCTATTTTTATTTTTCTCCGTACTTTCTTGGTATATTCGGTGTTCGGTCGCCTTCTTTGCCTCGAGCACGGTGCGGCTGTTTCGATCGCTAGTATCGTTCTCCGAACTTTCATCGGAATCGGTTTTTGGGCCTTTTGGTTCGCTTTTTTTGGAATTTTGGTCCGTGTGGGCACTGATTCGGTCGTTTTGACTTGAGTCGGAGCTGTTGATGGTCATTTCAACATCGTCGCTGCTTTTTGACTTGTCCATTTCTTTGGCTTGCAAAAGTATGTAGAACGCGTTCTCCATACTTTCTTTCGGCTGATCGGCGCTTTCTGCATACTTTCGAATTCTCCGATTTTTGTGGGCTTTTCGTTTTGAGAGGCACTTTGTTGTGTTGGATGTCTTGGGGTGTCTTTGGCTATACGGGGATTTCCTGTATGGCTGGCGTTTTGCTGTTCATCAGTAATCTCCATACTTTTTTGATGACAACATTTTTGCGTGGATTTCCCCTGGATTTGGTTTTTGTCTCCCAGGTTAGTGGTTGATCCCAATGTACTCACGGTTTTAGCCTCAGTTAGTATTATTCTTCTTCTCGGTCTAGCGATGTTAGGGTTGCGAATGTAGTTTTCCCGGCTTTGCAGTAACACATGAGTTTTATTAAAATAACATCCAAAGAGGTCTCTACTAGCCAAAATCTCAAGAAACTACCAAAAGAATTAAACACATTGGCACATATTATAATTTCGGAAATCCCAAACTAAAATTTAAAATGGATTAAGATTAAACGCAATGATTTGGAATTAAGTATAGGTACTCTACGATTCGTACTTTCGATAAAAGGATTCTTAGAATAGTTAATAGGATTGCTAATAGCATTACAGCTTATTTCTTGTGTCCTACACTGCAGGAATTAATTCCTAAAATAATTAAATTTTAAATTGTTCATTTCATTTTTACCTACTTTAGAAAAACCTGAAGAGCTTACAGGATATCTATCACTTTACAAATATTATGTTAAATAAATTCCTAACTAATGATTTTATTTAAAAAGAAATTGTATCCGCTAGTGGAATTTCCTTCTCTCTACCCTTGCCTCTCTTGGCGCGCCATGAAGCTAAGAATGAGTCACTGACTATAATATCCGCTTAAGAGTATACGTAGCTTACTTTTATAGATAACTGTAAATTTTTTATTTTTAAAATCAATATTTTTTACTTTCTTTTAAAATAATCAACTTTAATATGAATTTATTTTCAAGGGTAGGTGTACGATTAGGTGAATATGATACAGATACACCAATTGATTGCGTTACTAAAGGAAACAGGAAAATATGCGCTCCAGCTCCCGTCAATGTATTAGTAGAAGAAAGAATAGCACATGAACTATATAACCCTTTCGACTTCAATCACTACCATGATATTGCCCTCCTCAGATTAGCTAGAGATGTTTCATATAGTAGTAAGTAATTCTTTCAGCATTTTTTGGTTTTACTTATTTGGAAATGAAATATTTGTCTTCAAACATTATCTTCATAGTTTAAAACGACCTGGAAGAAGGGTACATTTTAATTGTCTATTCGTTAATTTTTCTCATAATTGCCCTATTCTAGAAAAATTTCGTCAGTTCTAGAGATATAAGGTAACTGGAGGGAATTCTAGGAAATTTTAAAAAGTTTTAAAATATTTTTGTTTTAATTTTCTTCTCTATTTTAAATGAACATTTAAACAATCAATTTATATTTTGATATTTTTTTAAGATATTGCATAGCTTTTATCGCGGGCTTTGAGCGCGGCGACCGAATCAAGAAATTCCGTAACGAAAATAAACCTAACACCCCCAACTTCGACCGGCACAGCGGTGCGGCGTTAAAGGCCGTGCATCGTCTAACGTCGTTTCAGTATATTGCAGATGGTAATGTTAAGCGCTTATTTGTTGGAGATATTTGTGCGTACTTATGCAAACTTCGAAATGACCTATACATAGTCATGGTAGCAATTTACATTTCTACGAATCCAAAATTGGACGAGGTAGAGCATTTTATTCATCGCACTTTACTGGAGTACACTGAAGAAGGGTTTAAAATACTTATAAATTTTCACTTATCTTGGCTGGCGATTTCAACATCAACTTCGCTGATAAAAAATCAGAGCGGTTGACAACTTTTCTTTCGGAAAAATTGAATTTGAAAATGAATAATGATCCACAATAATCCACAACAAAATATGGGACCACCATTGATGCAGTATTTTCCAGATATTTAGAGGATATCAAGTCTCAAACTTATGTTTCTTATTTCAGTTATCATAAACCTACAGTTTTAATGATAAAAATTCCTGTATAACCTACATGTATTGTAAGATAATAAAAATATTTTAAACAATATTAACTTCTCATTTATTCAATAAAAGAAAAAAAAATGTTTTCTTGTCGGTCACCACGCTCAAAAAGTGTAACTTGAATTAATATCAAAGAAAAAAATATACTGCATAAATGAAATAAATATAAATAATTATAATTGCATAAGTTGATAAAAAATGCTATGCAATAGCTTTACCGCGGTAGTCCCCGAGTGTCACACGTATTTTTTTAAATTTTTTATTGTTAATAATATGTTATTTTTTTTTCTTTAAATACGTTTTAAATTGTTTTTATAACAAAAATATGATTTTTTCGCGTTTATTTTTTTTTTCAGTTTAGCACCGCCACTAATTTAAAAATTCTCTGGATTTAAATCTAATGACAAAAATTTAAATCTAGGGAAAATTCAAAGAGCTCACAGGAAAAGTATCTCCAAACTTGTTGGCAACGCTGTAAAATACTAATATCAAGCATGATAAAAAACAATTACTGTCCTAAATTCTTCAGGAATGAACAACACATCTCATTTTTTTACTGTTATCACAGTTAATAGCTAAAGAATCAGTTAGTTTACTCGGACCAATTGGATGTTCCAAAATAACATCCCCTCCAGTGATACAGATTCAGTATGCGCTGAAGACTGCTGTTTGAATACAGGCAATTGTGATAATATTGTATTGGTTATAGTAAAAGAGCTCACTACAAATTTCGACCGTCATCTGATAACGAAATGAAATGTGCTCCAAAGGCATGTAGCAACATTGTACTTTACCAAATTGCACCTGTGCCAATTCCTATCCTGAGCAAAGTGGCTAAAAAAAATATATTGTAATCGATGTTAAATAAAACACGGTTATTGCAAGACTGACTTTATTTTCTTTCGGCTAAATACAAAGCAATTAATCATACAGCCGTGAATCACACCACTGATGTCGAATTCGTCGAATCAGCCGTTCTGATTAAATGCTTTAGTTTTTTTTTAAACTTCTAACATTCGGCCATTCTGACATAATGGTGTCCTCGCCGTTTTTGTTCTTGGATGTCCTATGCCTTGTCCTTGGATATCCTATAACACAGTTTTAAACTATCTCAGTCAGGTCAAAAATTTAATCCATATGTATGAAACCTACTTGCACTTTGAGATGACCTAATTTTTTGTAATATTTGATTTTAGTTAACATTATTTTAATTGCTGCTGTGTACTTTGGTTACCACAGTTTTGTCGATATTATTATAAGAATTGAAATATTATCGTATCGTGACAACACGATACTTGTAATGTAAACTTTTGTTACTACACAAGCAATTGTCCGTTTACATCATATGAACTTTGTTACCACACAAACAATTATATGTTTACATCATGTGAACTTCGTGACCACACAATCAATTATTTGTTTACATCATGTGAACTTCGTTACCACACAATAATTTATTTGTTTACATCATGTGAACTTCGTTACCACACAATCAATTATTTGTTTACATCATGTGAACTTCGTTACTACACAATCAATTATTTGTTTACATCATGTGAACTTCGTTACCACACAATTAATTATCAGGTCTGGTAGTTAAAATAACGAAATATCAAATTTGTGCAGAATTATATTCTCTATTGCCATTATTACAAAATGCAAACAGGATTTATACTGGTTGACAACTGATTATTGTCTTAAAGTAATAATAAAAAAAAATCAAATAACATTATTATATCATAATTTTACCTAACTATAACAATGTAACAAATCTGTTCAGAATTTTTCATCAATTATCCTTCCAATAAATCAATTAACTCATCGGTGCTGTCTACAGAACTATCGCTCTCAGTTTCCTCTACTATTCCCCCTTTATACTTTCTTAATGTTTCCCCAGCCACCGCAGCCTTAAATCTTTTATACCCTTTCATACTTTCTATAGCAACGATTTCATACCGATCATTCCCTATAGTTTTAAATACTTTATACGGCCCACCAAATTTATAATAACCTACTTTTCTACTTATTTTCTTATCATTTTTATCTGCGCCTGACCATAGAATTAGATCGCCTACCTCATAAGTCTTACAACGTTTACGTTTTGCGTCGAATCTTTCTTTCATTTTTCTTGCCTGTCTATCCATACTATCTTTTGCCTTTAACTGTATATCGTTAGGTATGTCGAACTCATCATCACCTATATCTGCATGACGGTTTTTATTATACCCAAACATAAGCAAATGTGGAGTAAAACCGGTACTTTTATTGATTGTGTTATTAATACCCCAAATTACATTAGGTAGTGATTTTTGCCATTCATTTTCATTATTAACGGATGTATTGAGCCCATCGAGAATGGTTCTATTATACCTTTCTACTTGCCTATTCGATCTTGGAGATGAAACCGCATTTAGAATGTGTTTAACTTGATACGCTGTTGTAAACGATTTAAATTTAGTACTAGTAAAAGCCTTCCCCCTATCTGAGATTATTCTTTTCGGGGTCCCGAACATACTAAACAGATCAGCTAAATGGTCAACAACTTCTTGAGCGCCCACCGTTTTGCACGCCTTTTCAAATACAAATTTCGCGAATGAGTCTACGATGACCAGAATATAAGAGTTACCCTTGTGACTTTTGCTAAACGGTCCTAAGTGATCTATGTGCCACGTATGTAGGGGCTCTCTAGGTTTATCTATAGGAAATAAATAACCTTCTTGCTTCCCATAGTTTCCCCGTTTATAATGACAATCTAAACAAGATGAAACATATTTTTTTACAAATTTATTCATGTTTTTAAACCAAAACTTTTCTTTGATCAGCATTAGACAGCGTTCTAAGCCTACGTGATATTTTCTCAGTAAATTAAAACGAGCAGATTTTGGCAAAACTAATTTTTACTTCCCATTCAGAACTTTCCTATACAATTTATCATTCTTTAGGGAATAGGTATTTAAAATATCTGATCATTGGCCTCATCTAATTTGCGTTTTATTAACCTAATCTGTTCATCCTGCATTTGTAATGTCAATATCCAGTCAACAGTATCTATAAGGAGGACATTAGAAACAGGATTTCTACTTAGGGCGTCGACGTGCTTAATTTTTTCACCCGGGCGGTGCTCAATTTCAAAATCGTACTCCTGTATACTCAACCACCACCTAGCTACCCTGGGTAAAATGTTTTTTTTTTCAAAAGTACTACGTACCGCGCTACAGTCTGTTATTATTTTAAAATGTATACCAAATAAATAAATTCTAAATCTTTTTATCGACTCTACTACCGCTAAAGTTTCTAAGTCGTACGAATGATAGAGACTTTCGTCGCGTGACGTAGCTCTACTAAAATAAGAAACAGGTTTTAATTCCTTGCCCTCGTACTGCATCAAAATTCCTGCGATGCCCTTAGAAGAGGCGTCGGTATGTAATTCTGTTTTCTCAAGAGAGTTAAAAATTTTTAGTATGGGTTTGCTAATGAGTTTGTCTTTAATGAAATTAACCGCGTTTGTCTGATCAATTTTCCAAGACCAGGGTACATTTTTACGTAAAAGTACAGTGAGTGGTAAAACTATTTTGGCATGATCTATTATGAATTTTCGAAAGTAAGAACTTAAACCTAGGAATTGACGAAGCTCGTGTACATTAGAAGGAATTTTAAAATCTGCGACTGCTTTTATCTTTTGATCACCCGGTCTTATTCCTTCTTCCGAAATTTCATATCCGTGAAAACTTATGCTAGGTTGTAGAAATAAACACTTGTCGATATTTAATTTAAGATTTTCCTGAAATATTAATTGAAGAACCTCTTTCAAAGTTCCTAACCCTTCCTCGATAGAATTTGATGGAATTAAAATGTCATCTAGATAAGCAATGACCTTATCGAATCGTAATTTACCCAAGATATTATTAATCATGCGTTGGAACGTGGCCGGTGCGTTAGCCAACCCAAAGGGCATACGGAGGAACTCGTACTACCCGTCTGGCGTAACAAATGCCGTTTTGTGAATTGAATCTGACGCAACGGGAACTTGATAATATCCTTGGGCCATATCGAGACTGGTGAAATATTTCTTACCCCGCAACTTGTTTATAAGGTCCTCTATGTGAGGTAACGAATATTTAT